AACGCAATTGAAGACCACTCATGAGCACATTACAGGCATACAAAACAATATAATTCCTTCAACAAAATTGTACTGAATGCTCACTTTTCCTAATACTCCCACAGTACAATTATGGAAAAAACAAGCCTAGAGGAAAAGTTTATATGAAATCTGGGAATATTTAGTCTGGAAAGGATAGTCTTCTCAGCTCAATAATTTCATGATTATATCTTTTTCAATAAGTAAAACTTTGGCTTGCATAGTTTGCAAAGTCTGTATTCACAATGACTCCTACTAATCTTTCCAGTCTCCTCATGTTGGGAGAAGACAAGTGTTTGCTTGCTGCACACTGATTCCTCTCCACAAGAACAAGGCAAAACAAAACACTTTCTGTACACAGTGGAGACTAAATTTCTCATGGCCATGCTTTATGTTAGAAGCTGGAAAAGTAAGCTACCATTCATTTTCTTGATAAGACAGCATAAAAGGAATGGAGATTAACATTTGGAGTATAGGTTGATTGGTACATAGAACAGAGGTAGCAATTATAAAAGGCAAGTCTTTTTTTTTTTTTAACCTCTTTACTGGAGTATTATTGCTTTACAATGGTGTGTTAGTTTCTGCTGTATCACAAAGTGAATCAGCTACTCGTATACATATATCCCCATATCCCCTCCTGTTGCATCTCCCTCCCACCCTCCATATCCCACCCCTCCAGGTGGTCACAAAGCACCAAGCTGATCTCCCTGTGCCATGCAGCTGCTTCCCACTAGCTATCTATTTTACATTTGGTAGTGTATATATGTCCATGACACTCTCTCACTTCGTCCCAGCTTACCCTTCCCCCTCCCCGTGTCCTCAAGTCCATCCTCTACATCTGCATCTTTATTCCTGTCCTGCCCCTAGGTTCTTCAGAACCGTTTTTTTTTTTTAAGATTCCATATATATGTTAGCGTACAGTGTGTTTTCTCTTTCTGACTTACTTTACTCTGTATGACAGACTCTAGGTCCATCCACCTCACTACAAATAACTCAATTTTGTTTCTTTTTATGGCTGAGCAATATTCCATTGTATATATGGGCCACACCTTCTTTATCCATTCATCTGTCGATGGACACTTAGGTTGCTTCCAGTCCTGGCTATTGTAAATAGTGCTGCAATGAACATTGTGGTACATCACTCTGTTTGAATTATGCTTTTCTCTGGGTATATGCCCTGTCGTGGGATTGCTGGGTGGGATGGTAGTTCTATTTTTAGCTTTTTAAGGAACCTCCATACTGTTCTCCTGGCGGCTGTATCAATTTACATTCCTACCAACAGTGTAAGAGGGTTCCCTTTTCTCCACACCCTCTCCAGCATTTATTGTTTGTAGACTTTTAAAAAGCAAGTCTTTCTTGTGAAGTGATTTTGGTCAGATAATACTGCTCATAAAACAACAGAGATGAAAGAAGGCAGATTCAGGCAAGCGTTCCCGTAGTAAAGCCATTTATAAAATTGTCAGATAACTTCCCTTGGTGAAAACTGAATGATTCAGAAAACTTCATGAAAAATAATAGTGGGTTTTAGTGATTTTCTCAAAATTATATATAGTGAGCAACTGAACTAGAACTTGAGTTAAATTTCTTAGTTAACAGTTAGATACAAACATATTTTAGTGCATTAGAGCCTAGACCCTAGCTAACTTGTTTCCTACTGCATCCCTGGTGTCTAGCACAGTGTATAAGCCCCAAAATATTGTTAGAATGAGTAAAGTAATAAAATTTAATCAAGATTTTGGGGCTTCCCTGGTGGCGCAGTGGTTGAGAGTCTGCCTGCCGATGCAGGGGTCACGGGTTCGTGCCCCGGTCCGGGAAGATCCCACATGCCGCGGAGCGGCTAGGCCCGTGAGCCATGGCTGCTGAGCCTGCGCGTCCGGAGCCTGTGCTCTGCAACGGGAGAGGCCACAACAGTGAGAGGCCCGCGTACCGCAAAAAAAAAAAAAAAAAATTTAAGCAAGATTTTGCACTTAGTCGGGACTGTAATTGAGACCTGGCTTACAACCTTAGCTTCATTAATTATTATGAAATTGCTTAGGTTCTCAGAACCTGTTTTCACTTCAGAAAAATGAATAAAACTTGCCATTACGCCAGGTGCCTTCAGTTCCTGAGAATATAAATGTGAATAAGAAGGTGAAGGAAGTAAGGGTAGAAAAGACCAACACAGACAAAACGAAACGAATAAATAAATAAATAGAAAATAACAGTTGTAATGAATGAAAAAACAAGAAGAAAAATAAGGTGTTGCAATAAAAATAACAGATTACTACTACAAAAATAAATATGCAATTTTAAGCATAGTAAATGACATAATATGTGCTCCAGAAACATTAGCTTTCATCTCTGCCTTCCCTTGCTAAATTATGAATTAAAAACAATGAATGAAAAAAAATAAAAACAAATAAAAACAATGAATGTGGGAATTCCCTGGTGGTCCAGTGATTAGGACTTTGCACACTCAGAGCCAAGGGCGTGGGTTCGATCCCTGGTTGGGGAACTAAGATCCCACAAGACATGCAGTGTAGTCAAAAAACAAACAAACAAACAAACAAAAAACACTGAACGTGAAGAGTATCTAATTCAAATTCTTGAGTAATCAAAGTTACATAATTAGAATATAATGATATTTAATGTAGATTGTAAGACTGAAGAATAAGCACGTTACAAGTACTGGTTCCCAACATGCCTGAGAAGGCAATATAGCAGTTATGAACATATCCTTTAGCCAGAAAGATTCGTGTTCCATCATACTATTTAAGTTTGAGCAGAGTATTTAACCTTTCCAAACTTTGCTTTCTTAACTTAGCTGGAAAATGAGGACAAATTAAGCAGCTATTTCATTGGATTGTTATGAAGATTAAATAATGAAAAAGCTATAGTAATCAAAATAGCTTGCAGCTAGCATAAAAACAAACACGCAGATCAACAGAACAGAATAGGGAGGCCAGAAATAAACAAAGGAACCAAGAATATACAATGGGGAAAGAATAGTCTCTTTAATATATAGTGTTGGGAAAACTGGAGAACCACATGCAAAAGAATAAACTGAACCCGTATTTTATACCACTCACAAAAATCAACTCAAAATGGATTAAAGAACTGAACGTAAGACCTAAAACCATAAACCTCCTGGTAGTAAACAAGGGGGTAAGCTCCCTGACACTCGTCTTGGCAATGATTTTTTGGATTTGAAACCAAAAGCAAAGGCAACAAAAGCAAAAATAAATAAGTGGGCCTATGTCAAACTAAAAAGCTTCTGCACAAAAAAGGACACCAACAAAATGAAGAGGCAACTTATGGAATGAGGGGAAATATTTGCAAAAATATATATATGAAAGCAGGTTAATATCCAAAATATATAAAGAACTCTTACAACTGAATAGCAAAAAAAAAAAAAAACTGATTAAAAAATGGGCACAGGAACTTCTTCCCAAGAAGACACGTAATGGCCGACAGGTACATGAAAAGGTGCTCACCATCACTAATCATCAGTGAAATGCAAAGCAAAATTACAATGAGATTATCAATTATTTTACACCTGCTAAGAATGGCCATCATCAAAAAGAGATAACAAGCATTGGCAGCAAGGATGTGGAGAAAAGGGAACACCTGTGCACTGTTGGTGGGAACGTAAATTGATGCAGCCATCACAGAAAACAGTATGGGGTTCCTCAAAAAATTAAAAACAGAACTACCATACTTTCCAGCAATTCCACTTCTGGGTATATATCCAAAAAAAACAAAATCACTATTTTAAAGTGTTATTCATTCAGCATTATTTACAACAGCCAACCCATAGAAACAACCTAAGTATAAATCGATGGATGAAAGGATAAAGAAAATGTAGTACATACACACAATGGAATATTATTCAGCCACAAAAAATAAATCTTACCATTTGTAACACCATGACAACACGGATGGACCATGAGGGCATTACGCTAAGTGAAATGCCAGACAAAGAAGGACAAATACTGAGTGATCTCGTTTATATGTGGGATCTAAAAAAACCGAATTCATAGAAACAAACAGATCCATCAACAGGTACAAACTTTCATTTAAAAGATATATAATTTCTGGGGATATATAGTTTAAAAAAACGTTAATGAACAGTGTGTGACATATCATCTTTCAGTAAAGGACTAGACAAAATTATAATTCCTACAAATCTGATGAATGTCTTTAAATGTATCTCACAAAATCAGTATATCTGTTTTTATTTTCTACTGAGCTATTTCTACTGAACGGTTTGGAAAGAAATCTATTGTTTTCAAAAGTAAACTTCAATATCAATTATAGGGAATAAATGCAAGAAAGTGCTTAAAATAAATAAATAAATAAATAAAGATGAGAGGCACTGCTCCAAAGAGTTGAAAATGTCATTTGGTTTTCAAGTCTACATCTTCTTAAGAAAGTTTTCCTAGTGGTGTATCATACTCCAGCACGGCTGAGCAGCCAGATGAGCAAAACTTGCACAAATAAGAGCTGTAAACACCTGAGAAGGCGTTTTCATAGGAAGGCACTCTCCGTCAGCAAACAAGTGACAGCAACAGGGCTGGTGAGTACTGAGGCCCCTTCTCTCTCCACCCCCCGCAGTGGCCTGGGCAAGTTATAACCTCTCCTCTCTAGAACCTTCCCTCTACACCTACTAGCTCCTCAACCTTCAAGTCCTTCAATCCGCGAAGGTAATAGCGCTACAGGTAAGGCGATCAGGGTCAGAAGATGCGGTGTCCCCAATTCCTCACTCGCCGCCAAACCATGATCGCGGCCCCCAGTCCACTATACAGACAGATTCTGATACAGAAGAAGGCTAAAACTTTTTCTTCTTACAGAGGGCACCACCCGGAGCGTCGCCGGCAAACGCCCTAGGAGAGGGCGGGGTCTTCCCACCTCTTCAGACTCCGGCCCCAACATTAAGAGCTTCTTTCAGCCGGGATCGCTAACCTCAACTCCTCCCCCACCGCTGACCGACAGCCCGACCTCACCTGGAAGCGGTTCCACCAGGGAATGGCTTAGAGAAACCTCGGGAAGAGCGGTCCGGCGAGAGACGCCACCGAAGGCACAGTCATGGTCCGCCTCGTTCAGCCGACCAGTGCAGACACGCCTCGGCCGCCGCGCCTCCCGCCTCGAGGCGGTTCCCCCGCACCCCGGTATAGTCGCAGCCTCCCGCACTGCACGCCGGGAACGGCCTATCTCCACTTCTCAGACTTCAGCGTCCAGGACGCCCCGGCCTCCAAGCAGAACTGCACTCTGGGATTTGCAGTCCTCATCCCAGGCCTTCTCTCCTCCCTTAACACAGAATCCAGGGACCTCGCTGCGGAATCTAAACGTAAAGCATCGCCCACGGTCGTGAAATGTAGGCGACACTTGCATCCGGGCTCTTGTTCCGGCCTTGGCTAGGTGGGAAATGCGTCGCTTAGCAGCCGCTGCCGCTATTACTCGCTAGGGATCAGTTGGCGGTATCCAGTGTCCGATTGGAACCGCGCTGGAGAGCCGTCAGGCGTGGCGGCGGGGCTCGGCTGGGTGGGTGTGGTAGCTGAGGGGCCGCCGCTGGATGCCAGGTTTGGTTTAGCTGGGTGGATCCTGGAGAGCGCGGACAGAGAGTTCTTCCCGCAAAGGTTCTTTAAGCCTAACGGCCCAAATAAACAACAGCCCCTTAGTCTTTGATTTGCAGTCCATCTGCCTTACCCTCGCTTCAGCCCTGGTTTCTTCGGCCCAGCTGCACTCATTTCAATCGTTTACTTTCTCGCTTTTTTTTTTTCCCCTCTTAATCCTAGCTCCTGTCTCTCAGAATCAGTGGTCAATTTCAGCCTTCCAAGCATCGCACGCTTTGGTGGTAAGGGGGCGTGGAGGAAGGGGGCACAGAATCCTAGTTCTAGCTTACATTAGTTTAACCATGGAAGCCGTCATAATTTAGCCGATAAAATATCTGATGATTTGTCGCAACTGCTGTAATTTTGATCAAGGTTATTTTACCCACATATCTGTTATACAGTTAAGGAGCCATACCTCTTTGCTAACATCGTGGAGAGTTGTAATAGCGTAATCTGTAAAAACAGTAATGCTGTTTACCTTGAAAATGCTAATACCCACTTGTATTGTTACAGAAAGTAAAGCACAGTGAAAGAATTCAAGATGCCACCTAATATAAACTGGAAAGAAATAAGAAAAGTTGACCCAGATGAATTGCCTCGTCAAGAAGAATTGGCAGATAATTTATTGATTTCCTTATCTAAGGTACTTAATTGATAAATAATGCATAGATATATACATACAACTATGATAGTCTAAGTTGTCCCTGAAATCACTGAATGGTACAACTGGAAGATTTCTTGTATTTTGCTTAAGGGTTATAAAATATGAAATAGTTGCTTTTCTCTTTACTTAGGTGGAAGTAAATGAGCTAAAAAGTGAAAGTCAAGAAAATATGATACACCTTTTCAGAATTACTCAGTCTCTAATGAAGGTTTGTATACAGTAGGTTTTAATAATAGCTTTGACTATTAGAGAAAGTGTAAGAATCTTTTCTTAGATAATTTAATCTCTGTGAAAGTACTTTGTAAAATCTAAATGACCACTAAAAAATGAGATATCTTCAAATGTCAACTGAGAATTTTAGGTGAAAAACATTACTAGTTTCTGCTCTAAAGTTCCTAAAAGAGTGTGTAGGGGAAACAGAATGGTTATGTTTAAAAAAGCATAGGGAGGTCCTATGTTAATTATGTTACAGCTTGTTACAGTAGCTGACTACTGTTGGGATTTGTTAGGAGGGGAAGAGATTTAGGTGTGAGAAGACTGTAAAGGTGAAAGACTGATGAATAGTTTTAGGTAAGTGGAGGGCAGTGGTAAAGTGTTAAGGAGATTCTAGAGCTGGAGGTTACTATACATAAAAACTGGGAATAGAAAGTATGCATGTTCTTTACATTTAAGGAGACAAGTGCAGAAAGTTTATAATAGCAGGTTGTAGAGGAAACAATGTTGGGTATAGTTTAGAATAGGCTGTCTAGGGCCTTTAAAGACGTATTTTATGATATCAGCAATTAGCAGCCATTAAAGGTTTTTGATCTCTAATTGGTAGATACAAAAATATGCCTTAAGAGGGTTAAACTTATGAAGGAAGTTAGACAAAATTATGGACTAGAATAATGAAAATTAGAATAGAATAAAAGAGATAGTTGAAAACATTACGAAGAGAAAAGTTGCAATACTAGATGTAAGACTTGAGGGAAAAGAGGAATAAAAGATATTTCAAACTCTTAGGAATCTAGAAATTACAGCCTTAAGAAAATCATCTATTCATTCAACAAATGTTTGCTGAATCTCTCCTTGTGCCAGGCATTGCAGGCAGTAAGTACTGGGATAGCAAATACAAAACAAAATTCTTATTTTCAGTGCTTACATTCTAGTGTAAAGGCATACTGAAATAGCTTTTTTTATTCTTAACGTTTAGATGAAAGCTCAAGAAGTAGAGCTAGCTTTGGAAGAAGTTGAAAAAGCTGGAGAAGAACAAGCAAAATTTGGTAAATGCCTTGGGGAAAAGATTATTATGGTGTTAAATAGTGGATTTCATTTATTCACTAAGCAGTGAAGAATTAGCTTTAATATATTGGGTTGACCAAAAAGTAAGATCTTATGGACAAATCCAAACAAACTTTCTGGCCAACCCAATATTTTATAAAATGTGTATACTCAGTTTATTTTGAAATATTTTTCTAGAACTCCTATTTCATGGATCAGGTACAAAATAGTTATTTTCTTATGTTACCTTATCATTACAACCATGATGGAATCTTTAAAAATTAATTTTATTATTTTATTGAAAATTATTGAAAAGTTTGTTTTGAGATAAATCTGACCAATTGAAATATTTATCTTTTTTTAATAGAAAATCAATTAAAAACTAAAGTAATGAAACTGGAAAATGAACTGGAGGTATGTTCTATTGTATTCCTTAGGGTGTAATCATTGTAAATATTATTTTCGATTATTATTTTTAAATTTTTTCATTGTAATTAGCTGGAAAAAGTCACTGGAATGATATTGTGTTTATAATTGTTCAGTATATATTTTACGTGCCTATTTATGTATCTTAAATTCTGCTAAGGATTGCACATCCAATTGTGAACAAAATAAAAACATTGAATAACCTCATGGAGCTTGTAGTACAGAGAAATATACAGAGAGATTACTATAACTGAGGTGGAATGAGGCATGTTGGAATTTGAGGAACAGTGACAGAAGGGTATAGGAGAAGAGGTAGCTTTTGAGAAAGCCAAGAGCCAAAATGTGAATGTATTGTTAAGGAACTGAATACATTGAGATTACTGAGACTGTGGGAAAGAATGTGATACAAATGGATTAGCCCTTATAAGGAGGAAGGACCTTTTTCCTTGGTAAAAGGGAGGAAGGAAGAATGGATATGAACAGAAGCTTTTGATGTTTGTAGGTTTAGTGCCTGAAATTTGAGAGGATGGAGAGGTCATCTGCTAAAAATAAGAGTGAAAGATGTGTGGTCAAATTTTAAAGAAGTCAGATAAAACCAGAAATATAGTGGGGAATGAACTGGAGATTTCAGGATCTGGAGTCAGATAGTTTACATTCAAACCCTGGTTTTTTAGCATGTTAACTGTGCGAATTTAGATGGTTTATTTTGTATTCCCTGTCATATCCAGCTTCTAGGGAAATACCAGTCATTCTCAATAAATACTTGTTAAGTGAGTTATGAAGTAAGGTCGATTCTGTGTTAGTGTTTAGCAAGGCAACTACTACAGAATAGAAGGATAGGACAGTTGGAGATGTTGGTAAGAAAGTGCTTTTTGAAGGAGGTTAAGAGTAAGAAAAGTTTAGTTAAGGTAGAAGAGTAACAGAACTGTATGCTAGGGAGATGAATGTGAGACAGATTAGATGACTAAAGGATTTTTGATGTTTTTGACTATGACCTAAAGTAACAGGAAAATGAAGCAAAATGTATTTAGTCTGCTGCAAAATTTTAAAGATAATCTAATTTTGGGTGTTCAATATGGTAGCACTAGCTACATGTGGCCATTAGCATTTAAATTAATTAAAGTTAAGAATTCAGTTCTTTAGTTTCACTAGCCACATTTCAAGTGCTCAGTAGACACATGTAGATAGTGGCTACTGTATTGGGCAGTGTAGAGAACATTTCCTTTATCCTAACACTGGTCTAAATAGTCAGTGGTATGAGGGAAAGGACAGGTTAAGAGCACCATGGCTCAGTGGCTAGGGTGGAGGCTCTGGTGATTTGTAGCCTGGTTTCAGAGCTCTGATACTCAGGGGAAGCCTAGATAGTTCATCTCAAGGATCATTGTATGCCTTTGCACTTTACCCTGGTGTCTGTGGCTCAGCGGCTATAACAAAGCCTGAGTGATTGACTGTTAATTCTTCATACTCTGGATGGCTCAGGAAGAGCTTAAGGGGTTGTCAGCCTGTGAACTAAAGCTTAAATATGCTTAATTTAAAAAATTGTTTTTAAGCAACATGATTTTAAACATCTCGTGCTGATTATGATAAAATTTAAAGTCAAGATAATTATTTTTGTTGTTGATTCATTTGAATCTCCAGATATAATGGAATTAATTTATACTTTGGGTTTATTACTTTAAGATGGCACAGCACTCTGCAGGTGGACGTGACACTCGCTTTTTACGTGATGAAATTCGCCAACTTGAAAAGCAATTGGAACAAAAAGATAGAGAATTGGAGGACATGGAAAAAGAGTTAGAGAAAGAAAAGAAAGTTAATGAGCAAGTAAGGCACAGTTTTTTAATGACTCTTAACTGTTCAAGTTACCAAAAAAACACCACCTGTTTATGCTTTTTATAATTATTACTGACAGTTTCAATTTTTATGTTTTATGTTATTTGTGGGAATTGATGTATGCTTATTGATAAGGTTTTATATAACAGTTCATGTTGTCATCATGTCTTTAAAATGTAATGGATCAGGTACATCTAGTGAATGAATATGACCTAGAGATTAATTCTTTATACATGGAGGTAACTTTTTCTCCGGGTGTTAGAATTCTTCACATAAAGTTGATGATTTGATCTGGAATATTGGTATGAAGAAATTAATAGGCATTCAGAAACAATTGATTTGGGCTTCGCTGATGGCACAATGGTTAAGAATCCGCCTGCCAATGCAGAGGACA